GAAAGCCAGCCTAGTGTTTCCATTCGCTAGTATCCTAATATCAGGGAGAGCTGCTGTCTCCCATCTATTACGTATCTCGTCGCCGATTTTAGATACTTTAGTGCCTTTGTAGGATTTCCCTTCTTTAGGCGTACATATTACGATATATTTAGAGTCTCGCACCATTCTTGATGCGAGAGCTGGTTGGGGTTGTCTTGGTGAGTTAACCAAGACGTTGGCGTAATTCAGAGCCATGATAATTGTAAATAAATTAAAGGAGAGAAGAAATAAAATAGAATAGAATAAAATAAGATAAAAGTCAAATAAAATACAATAAAACCAAAATAGTTGCAAAATGAAAGGTGGGGGAGTGGGGAATGAGACGAAAAAGTGATCGAAAGTTCGAAGCCTTTTTGTGTGAACAACTAAGATTAGCCCACCCGCTAACTTGAGTTGTTCAGATGACGAAATTAACTAAGTAGTTTAAAACATATAATAACTTACAGCATAGAGTAATCCTAATGACGTATACTGATACAATATTTCTGGACTTTATATACCTACGGATGAGGGTTTGACAGTAAACAAAAAGGAACAGACATATGCCAAGTAGTAACCAGACAAAATGAGTTAACACCTACCTGAATTCACACCTTAATCAAGAACGTATAGAGATGTCCATGTATATTGCACATGGTCTTTAATCTGTATATATGGCTAATTGACACTTGAAAATCACACCTTGCCATATTATAATTAAACAACATAGGCATATAGTTCCCATCCAAAGAATTTTAATTAATATACTCAGCCAAATTAAAAACTTGACACTGATGAATTTCAACAAATTTTTTTTTCTGGTAAGTCACGTGACTTTTGAGCATATAAAGATGAAAAACCTGAAAAACACGTGCAAACACAAACTCGTGAGGTCAATCGATGCAAGTTTGCTTAAACTGAACACGCACACGTAACTTGAACTGGAAAAACAAATTAAAATTGTTATTTTCATCTTTGTTAGAAAATGTCGCGCCTTTCAATGTAGAACGTCTAGGTTCTATAGGTAGGCTCTATGCTGGTCAGTCTGTGGTCACTCTTGCAAGAGCCTTTAATTGTTCACGCCAGACAATAATTAATCTTAGAATGAGAGTGCTTCAAACTGGAACTATTGCCGACCGCCCAAGGGCCAGGAGCGCCACGTGTGACGTCACTCCAGGAAGATCAAGCAATACGATTACGTCATCTTAGAAACAGATTTGTCACTGCAACCTCCACAAGTAGAGATATGTTTGGTGGAAGGGTAACTGCACAAACTGTTCGAAATCGCTTGCAGGCTGCTGGTCTTCGAGCTCGGAGGCCCTATAATGGACCAATATTGACACCTCTTCATCGCCGTAACCGACTTGTGTGGGCCACAAGACACATAAGATTTACTCAAAGACAGTGGAATTCGGTTGTCTTTAGTAACGAATCTCGATTCACTTTGAGATTTGCCGATGGCAGGGTCCGAGTGTACCGCAGACGAGGTGAACGATACGCTCAAGTATGCGTCAGAGAAGTTGATCGATTTGGTGGCGGCAGCGTCATGGTTTGGGGTTCTTTTTGTGCACATGGACGTTCTCCTCTTGTTGTTGTCCAAGGGAACTTAAATGCTGTCCAGTACAGGGATCAGATTTTGCAACCTATTGTTCTTCTTCCGTTTATGCAGAAACATGGGCCTGGACTAACGTTTCAACAAGACAATGCTCGACCCCATACAGCAATTGCTACCCAGAATTTTTTAAGAAATGCCGGTGTCCAAGCTGAACACATCTGGGACGAACTGGGCCGACGTGTTCGTCAGCAAGTGAATCCACCACTGACGTTGCAGGACCTTCAACATACTCTTGCTGAGCAGTGGCGACGTCTTCCTCGGGTAGTGTTTACTAATGTTCTGAGATCCATGAGAAGACGTTGTGTGGCAGTACGAAACGCTAGAGGAGGCCACAACCGTTACTAAACACTTTATTCCGATTGTTCTACAAGTCTGTGAATTCCATTTTGGGGGGTACTGTGACAATGTCAAGCCCCTTATCCCCCTTAAAAGTGAAATTTTCATGTCAGCTTTCGAAGAATGAGCATTAGAATCATCCCTTATTAAACCTATATGTTGGTACAGAAAAGTTGACGATACGTTCGCTGTGATCAATGAAGATGACGACCCTGCAGTCCTTCTACAACACCTCAACAGCCAGCATCAAAGAATCCAATTTACGATGGAAATAGAAGAAAAGCACAACCTCCCGTTTCTGGATATAAACATTACTAACGACGGTGGTAATCTAAAGACATCCGTGTTCCAGAAACCGACACACACCGACCAATATATACATTTCAAATCGAACCAACCTACCAGTAACAAAACATCTACTATTTCCACTCTAACTAGACGTGCAATTAATATCTGTCATGAAGAAAACTTAGCAGCTGAAATCCAACATCTTAAAACTGTTTTTACCACCCTGAATGTTTTCATTAATTCCTCTTTACCCTTTATCCGCTGTTACTATACTATATGTGCTATCACAATTAATCTTAACATACTTAATTTGATAACCCAATCAAGCTAGGGTTTCATGATTGTTAACTTATGGTTTCTCTTATCATTGTTCAATGTACACGACCACTGAATTCTTGTCGAAACGTCGTGTGTATATAATATAGTGATTGTTATCCATAGAACAGTGTTGTGTTAAATTACATACTCAAATGCCTTATTTTCACTGTAGAAGCCAAAACACATATTTTGGTAAACATTTAAAGTGAACATAACCAATATTAAAGGTGCTGCACCATAATCTATCCCATTAATATTTTTTAAAAGTTGCACAGAACATTTGTGGGGTTTTTTTTTTATAAAACTTTCAGAATGTGCATCAAATGACTCAATTTATTGTTTGCCATCTAAAAAGTTGATAGACGACTCGTATTGACAAATATTTTTAAATAAGGCAAAGTTAAATTAGTCGAAAAGCTGACTTCATCTTTTTGTTGACATTTTTGGCTAAATCCACCCATTTATAATGTATTCTGAATGTTTCAAGTCGAAATCTTCAAAAATGAAAAGTTACGCTCAGAATTTCCACTTTTGAGCTTAAAATTGGGTCATACGCATGCGTCGTAGAGGCCAAAATGCCCCAACATGAAAATTGAGAAATACGAACAGCTACAAATTGGTGAAAACCACATTCAAATTGGTGAAAACCACATTCAAATTGGTTGAAAAACAAAAAAGTTTCCTTTGATGTCTAATATTGGTCTATTTTCGTCAATGACCTCACTTCCTTTTATAATTTTTAAAGTTTTAGTTATTCATTCACGATTCCAACTAAATATCTTTCGGATAATATAGAGTTTAATTCTGCAGAATATGTACTTAATATAAAAACTAACATTCATTCACGATTCCAACCAAATACCTTTCGGATAATATAGAGTTTAAAGATACATTATGGGAGATTCGATAACGAGTTGGCAGTTCTCACTATAATAGTTAAAATCTAGATAACGTAAAGGCAATTTGCTGAAAATTTCATTCAAATTGATCTACTATGAACCGAGAACTAAGCGAATGAAATTTCTGCCAAGCCTCGGTCATCAGTACGATAAACAGCATAGTCTCGATTATCCAATTAATCGTTAAATCGAGAAGGAAAGTTATACAGTAAATCGGCTCACAATCCACTTAAGATCGCAGGCTAGCATGCCATCTACAGTTGATTATGGTCTGCATAAGTTAATTAATGTCTAATTAATAATTTAGATAACATTTCAGGCCTAAAGAAAGACCTGCAATAGACAGATTTAGCTCTTGCATAATGTATATATTTAATTCTGTAGAATATGTACTTAATATAAAAACTAACTAGAACCGGTGCCACATTAACCTTAAACTTATGCCACTTCTGTTGCCACGTTAACCTTGAACTTATGTCACCAATAAAACCGTTAAATAGATTTCTACATAAACATTGCACGAGTGTTATAAAATGGACACAGAATCATCGAAATCCAGCAATATCAATTCCATTTTTGTTACCATGTGTTACATAATATGTAAAAAAAAAAAGTTATCCTAACAAAATTTGTTATTACAGCTTGTAAGACTTTGGTCATTGGATGATATTGGGTTAGAGACTTAGCTACTTAAACTTTAGCCTCTAGAGCGTCCACAAGACTTTTTGAAGGGATCAAGGGCTATAACTCGGGTAGTAATTATCGGAAATCGCTGAAAATCAATAGACTTCTTCGTCCCATGGCCTTTAACACTGTGTATACATTTAAAGTCAATCGGATATTAACTTTAGCCTCTAGAGCGACCACAAGCAATTGTGGACGAAGGGGGTGACGATTGTGGGTGTATAAAAAGTGATCCTGACAAAATTGGTTATTTCTCGACATGGGAAGATGCTAAAAGCAATTTTTGAATATCTATATGATCGTATTGATCCAATCTATATGTCCATTGGAATCAAAATATCATTATGTTAAATGAATAATAAATATAACTCACTTCAAAAACATATTTGTTTTGAAGGCTAAAAATAAGGTTTTTGCCAAAATGACATAGCTTCCTGTGATAATGAAAATGTTAAATTAGTTCTATGAAATCATAAATGGCATGGTGGAAATTTGATGAAAATCGAATAATAACTGACACTTTTATAGACCAAAAGCCTTGAAATGTAACTTCGAGAAAATCGTCTACTTCTCTGCAACCATACAAGTTAGAAACCATTTTTTGGTATCTGTATGCTCGCATGGGTTAATTCTATTTTTTGATTGGAATCAAATATCATAATTTTAAAAACATTAAAAATCAGACTCATTTGAATAAAATATCAATGTTTGCAGCTATAATACATTCTTATGGGGCTTTTTTTCTCAGAGCAGAGGCATTTTCAATTATTACTGCTTAGTTGTAGACTTTACTTCTATTATATACAGGCAGGACCTTTACATTTCTTCATAAAAGACAACAATTTATAGAGAGGTATTTATTCTAACCAATAAGTATGAAATAGGACAAAAATATAGATTTTACATAAAGATGTGTACATATAAGTTGTGTTTTATTTTTTTTTTTCCTCATAAATTACATTTTAGCCTATATATGTTTATATGCCAAAGATCTTGGTTCCTTTTAATTTTGCCGCATATCAGCAGACCATAACTACCTGGATTATGACCCCCTAATGTGATTGTATGAAAAATCACATTTTTAGCTTAACAATAAAGTTGTAGGAACCATTTAACCTGTAGTGTTACATATTACAATCACCAAGAGAACAAACACAACAAGGAAGTCTGATAGTACTACACTATTTTTGCATACAAGTAGGGGCTATTTTGTCAGGCAGTTTCGTTTTGATTTTCCCGAAATTCGAATGCAACCTTCTTTGTGGTGTAACGGTGATACAGTGATACAGTATATTTAAACGTTTTATAAAATTGGATAAAAATTGTAACATCTAGAATGTCCACAAGCTAAAAAGGTAATTTTTCGTACAATCAGAATCCATAATTCGGGAAGTTTTGGTCTAATATGCGCGAATATCAAAAGGAACTGAGTTCTTTGAGATATAAACATACATTTCAAGTTTCATCCAAATCGGACGACAAATTGTGACCTAGAGGTTCCACAACTTGGTATTAAATACTTTTACACAATTTGCATTCAAGGAGCGGACATTTTGTTGGGCAATTCTGCTCCGATTTTTACGAAATTCGAATGCAACCTTCTTTGTGGTGTAACGGTGATACAGTATATTTAAACGTTTTATAAAATTGGATAAAAATTGTAACATCTAGAATGTCCACAAGCTAAAAAGGTAATTTTTCGTACGTACAGAGTCCATAATCCGGGAAGTTATGGTCTAATATGCGCGAATATTGAAAGGAACTGAGTTCTTTGAGATATAAACATACATTTCAAGTTTTATCCAAATCGGACAAAAAATTGTGACCTAGAGGTTCCACAACTTGGTATTACATACTTTTACACAATTTGCATTCAAAAAGCGGCCATTTTTAAGAAATTCGAACCCTGCAATGAAATATAAATGATTTTTAAAATTAGATAAAAAATGTGACCTCTATATGATAGGGACCACAAGCTAAACAAGCCAACAGTGAGGCTGATGTCCCCCGCCATAATCCCCTACAAAAAACATTTGACACATTAATTAATTGTACATTTATCTTTTTCAAAAGTATCAAGTAATCAAACTGACTATCTATGCTTAGTCTAACTAAGCATAAAATGTTTACTATCAAACTCAGGTTTTGAAGTACCTGGTAGTGAGTGAAACTATACACTAAGTTTCATCACTTTCCATCAGTTGGAATCAAAGTTATCTTGTCCCAAAGCATCGACCAAAGAAATAGCTTAGCTCTGCTTAGCTTTATACTTTAATGGGAAATATTAATCATTGAACTCTATACCTCAATTGTTATGTTCCAAAGTCTTGACCAATCAAATTGCATTTCGCTACTGAGCCCAAGTAGAAAATTCTCATCATCGAACTTAGTCAATGAATTGATATAATGAATCTATACTCAGAATTTCATCGCTCTCACCCAATTAGAACCAAAGTTATCCTGTTCCAAAGTCTCAACCAATCAAATTGTTCATCTCTGCTTATAAAGTGGAAAATGCACATGCACATGTCAAGGCATTCACGTAATAGACACCTACACCAATTTTGAACAATCTACCTCAATTAGAAGGAGAGTTATTGTGTTCCAAACTCTCGACCAATCAGATTGAAGTCTCTACTTTGCCTAAGCAGAAATTTCTCAGCATCGAACCTTGTATTGATGTAATAAAACTATACACGAAGTTTCACCACTATCACTCAATTAGAATTAAAGTCTTTACCAATCATATTGTTAATCACTTTGCCCGAGCTGAAAATGCTCTCATAATCAAACTTAGTTAAGATATTGATGTGATGAAACTATACACCAAGTCTCATCACTGTCACCTAATTAGAACCAAAGTTATCGTATCCCAAAGCATCAACCAATCAAATTGCTTCATCACTTTCACTTAATTAGAACTAAAGTTCTCGTGTCACAAAGCATCAACAAATCAAATTGAATATCTCTGCTTATCCTTTGTACTCCATCAAGAAATTTACCAAATAAACACCTACACCAAGTTTGAACATTCTAGCTCAATTAGAAGGAACGTTATTATGTCCCAAAAAATGTGACGGACGGACAGACACACATTTTAATAGTCCCCCGCTTTCTTCGAAAGGTGGGGCACAAAAAATAGCGATTTTTCGTACATTCAAGGGCCATATTTTAGGAGGGTATGATCTGATATGCACGAATATTGAAAGGAACCAAAACCTGTGGGATATAAACATTCATTTCAAGTTTCATCAAAATCAGATGAAAATTGTGACCTTTAGAGGGTCCAGAACCTTGGTATTACATACTTTTACACTATTTTGGTCAGATTTTCATGAAATTCGAACTCAAGTTACGGTCCGATATGCGGGATTGTCCACAAACAAAATTTATAAATGTATGTAAAAAAATATAAACTATTAAAAGTTCTTAACCATAATAATAAAAATATCACAGTTTAGAGACATATAACAAAATAATCACAAAAATATACATAAAAATAATTCAAAACTTGTTTTAAATTATATTTCATTAATTCCAATGTACAAAAAATTATATTTCATTAATTGTTGAATACGTGTGTTGACCATTGCAAAATTTAATTATTTTGGATGTAATGCATCAAAGACATTTCAAATTTTATGAATTGTCTATTTTATGTATAATAAATACAAAATACAACTAATAACTCCTCAAATGAGAAAAATTTATACAACAAATAAGGTTTATTCACTGGTTCGTTGTCAAACATTTGAAAACAAATTTATTTTAATTTCTTAAATTTCAAAAGAATTTGAATATACAGTACATGAATCTTTATTCACTACCAAATTCAACAATATAAATAAATTGAATGTATATAGAAATAACAGATATCATCAAATAATCTAACAAACAATGTGTTTGGTTTTCAAATTATCAGTATATAAATTAGTGAGATTTTCTACCACACAGAGTTCAGTGGAGGTCGTGGCATAGGCGGAAGAAAGTCTGAGTGGTGCTGTGATTGAACCTGGACTATTCCAGTTAAAAAACGAGTTTTAGGCTGCATGAACGCACTGGGTGGTAGGCTTGTTTTACATTCACCATTGTTTACCTGGAAATATTGAAACACATTTTAACATGCATGTAACAAGCTTAAAGAGGCAATATGTAAAGTTTATACAAAGAGCTGACAGTTCTTGCTATAATAATAGTTAACTACAGCATCACTAACGCTGCAATATACATCCACATTCCTGCTTTCATTGATATGGTACTTTTTAAAATGAAGAGAATGAAAAATGAAATAGCTGCAATGACACTGTAATATGACAAGAGGCAAAGATGGCTAGGCTAGGGTTTGTTTTGCCAAATTTAGAGACTAAATATTAACAAAAAAGTGGGTGTGAGACCTCCCCCACCCTCGGGGGGTCAGGGCATGCACCAAAATAAATAGTTGCTGTCTTTGGGGTATAATGAATAAATATGCAAAGTTCCCAGATGATCCATTCAGAATTGCAACTTGTAGATGATGAATACAAAAATTGGGTGTGGCCCTGCCCCTGGGAGTTGGATTTGGAACAATATAAATAGGTACCAGCACCCTGTTATTGAAATGATTGATATGCTGAATTTGAATAAAATCTGTTAAGTATTGCAACCTGTAGAGTATTTACAGACAAAAAAGTAGGTGTGGTACCACACACACATGGGGGGGGGGGGTCCATGTACCAAAATAAATAGTTGCTATCCTTATAGAAATAAATATGCCAAGTTCTAAGATTATTAATTCTGAATTCCAGCCTTTACACATAAAACACAAAAATTGGGCGTGGTACAACTCTTATGATGGATTATTTCGAATTGGATCCAAATCTGTTAATAATTGCAGCCTATATATATATCATTTACAGACAAATTATTAACAAAAAGTGGGTGTGGCAGCGCCCAAAGGTTGGCGGGGAATCATGCACCAAGATCAATATATGCCGTCCTTAGTGTATACCAAGTTCCAAGATAATCCATTCAGAATTGTGGCCTTCGGGCGTTAAACACAGGACATGGCCCTTCCCCTGGGGTTCGGAACATGCACCCAAATCAAAAGTTGCCGTCCTTAATAAGGAATATATATGCCAATTTCCAAGATGAAACATTAAAAATTGTGGCCTGTAGGCAATACACAGACACACAAAGAAAACATGGGTGTGGCTCTGTCCCTGGAGGTCAGACATTCACCAAAAAACAATAGGGTATAAAGAATAGGTGTGAGAGAGAATTGTGGTTTAACGTCCACTCGACATATGGTTCAATTTTATTTCAATAATTTGCTTGCGCGTAGGGGTCTTTAGCAGTGGGAGGAAACGGGAGGAACTGGAGAATACCCAATGAGGTTGGACAGGGAACCTTACTCCTTGTCACGTACAACTGGGTAATCGAAACCACGCCAGTTGACTCAATGTCAGGCCATATGATACAGCACGCACATGCTTAACATTTGGCCATCCAACCCCCCATAAGGAATAGGTATGCCAAGTCTTGAAAGGATCTATTCCAGGGGGTCGGGCATGCACGAAATATAATAGAGGTCATCCTTAGGGCATAAGGAATAAGTATGAAAAGTTTTCAAGACAATCGATTAAGAATTGTGGCCTGTAGGCGACACACCAAAAGAAAATCGCTGTGGCTCTGCCCCTGGGGATTGGGCATGCACCACAAACAATAGGGATGTTCCTTAGGGCATAAGGAATAACTACTCAAAGTTGCAAGATGATATGTTAAGAAATGCGGGCTGTAGACGAAAAACACATACAAGATATGAACGTTGCTCTGCCCCTGGGGGTCAGGCATGCACCGAAAATAACAGGGACCATCCTTAGGAGGATTAAGTATGTAAAGTTTCAAGATGATCACTTAAGAATTGTGGCCTGTAGGTGAAACACAGACACACAAAAAGAAAATGGCCGTGGGGGTTGGGCATACACCAAAAACAATAGGGATCATCCTTAGACTTAGGGTAAAAGGAATAAGTATGTAAAGTTTTAACCCTTTCAATGCTAGACGTAAATCCATTGAGGAAAAAAGTGGGTTTGGAACTAAATGCCAAACAGTACTCATGGAAGCTTTTATGAAAATTATTTTTGTGTGTTTGGATGGGCATGATGTTGGGCTAAGAGAAAATAATAGAATTTTGGAAATTTGCATAATCATGAAGTCATGTGACGTCATGGCGGCCATTTTGGATTTTTCATTTCTCACTAAAGCTAACACGAAAACGAATTTTTCTCCATGAAATACTTATGGGATATTGTTTTTTTCACTGGATTTTGATAAAGATATATAAAATGAACAAAAATATCAATAGCAGCCATGAGCAATGCCACCACGAACACGCACAACACGTCTCCCGCTGCCATGACCACATGCGGATTGCAATACCTTGTTTTTACTTTCACTTTCATCCTCAAGTCCAATATCATTATCAATATAGTCAGTCAATAGATCTACACGTTCGGGACTCAGGAATTGCCTTCGTTTTATACGATCCAGCAGGCCAGCATTATTATCAGAATCTACTAAAGACAAACTACATAGGGCTATTACGTTCACACTGGGCTTGTTCATCATGCATAGCCATAGGCGGAAGATTGCGCAACAAATCACGCACTTCATACTACCAATCACTGTCCTGACTACTATTATTATCAACTAACTGGAAACGAATTATGTGTATCAGTACCCGCCTCGAAATTGTCCACACTGTCTTGGTCAGCGAAGATGCCATTGACGACATAGCCGAGATTGCATCGTCTGCGTTGTCACTATGCACTCCGCCATTTTACGGTTTGCCGCTTTGAAACACGTGGAAATTTGTTCTAGTGCATAGAAAATACAATAGAAGGCACTTGCAGCTACGGTGCTAATTTTAGCGAGGGCCATACTGAGTACCCGGTAATACTGGGTACGTGCATTTTAACAACATTTTATTATACCCGGTACTACCAGGTAGACGCAATGAAAGGGTTAAGATGATCAGTTAAGAACTGCAGCCTATATGTGAACCAAAAACACACACACAACAGGCGCTCCAGGATTTTGTGCAGGGGGGGGGTCTAGGTTGGATAATTGATTAACTAAATGCGGTTGGCGTAGCCCACCGCCACAAGAGCCTAAGGCGCTAAACATAACGGGGGGACTGGGGGCCCTCCCTCCGAAAAATTCGATAAATTAGATTCAATTTGGTGCATTCTGACGTATTTCCGGAAGGTAAATTCCAAAATTACAGGTCTAAAAATCGCCAATAAAATCGCATAAAATGTCCTTAAAATGTTGATGGGGAATGCTCCCTTCACAGGTGAGGAACAAAATATCTTCAGATACCATATTATGGTTGTTCTTAACAAGCTTTATTAGCAGTATCAATTTACTATTAGAGTAACCAGTCCATTTAAGTATAGGAAAGTTGGTCGGGGGTTTTCCAGAGCAAAATCTTTCACAGATGAAAAGTCTATAGACTTGTTAATCTCTAATTACGTCTCATGCAGCAATTGTTTTAAATGCGCGTATAAAAAAGTCTTACGAATGACGACATGTCGGAAGTATTTTACCTGCACTCTCGATCGCTGTAGTAGGCCTACCTTCCATTGTTTCGCGGTAAGGGCATGTTCCAAGTTCACCTAATAAGACATTCTCTTCAGGTATAATAATAATAATAATTAAATAATAATAATAATAAAACATAAGCGGTGTTATGTATCAAATTTTTAAAAAATCTTATAAATTCCGCTAGTATATATTTTTTTTTTTTTTAAATTTGATAAAATAAATGACCAGGTTTTTTTTCTTATCAACGCTGCCGATAAAATTAAAAAGCAAACACAACAATATTCAACGTCAACAGGCGAACAGCATTAATAAAACTCTTTAAATTTCAATAAACTTATATTTTCATACAGTACGGTGTTAAAAAATTGCTGCCGTCGTCAATGGGGGGGGAGGGGGGGGTGTGCAGATTCTCTATGAAATGTCCAATTACGGTACTTTCATTCAGGGTAAGCCAGCTTTCTCTACCAAATCAATCGCCTGCACTTGCTGGTAGCAATTGTAAACCCGCTCGAGCAAAACTAGTCTCTTTGATGGCCACATAAAATTTGTTTTTTCTTCATTCATGGCCATAAAATGTGGTACATTTCCCAGATATAAGCAAGAAAATGACTTCATACAGTTGAAAAAGTGTTCTAAGACCATAAGGGCCACCTTTTAGCACATCACATAGCAAAAAATGTTTGAGAACCGAATGGGAGCTGATTTCTTTACGAAGTGGAATATTTTATCTTGATTTCTCGATTCTAGATGGAAAGGTGATGTGCTGTCCAACGCTACAGCCTGGGTCTCAAATGGAATATTCCAAAAGGATGAAACCTTTAAATTATCGATTTTATAGCAGAATATTAGAGTTCACATTATAGAAAATTACTGCTTTTTGGTTTACCCAATAGAGAATGGTGTTCTGAGTTGCAAACTAAACTCAATACACTGTTCTCTATATGGGTCAAATGAAGAAAGTCTGAAATAATTTGCATTTAGTCTTATCTCTCATATCCACGACAAGCTGCTATAACAACTAATTATTGCTTTCACTAAACCTACGATTTGCACTGCTACTTGTAAACGAGTGATTATCATTATTTGTTCTTTTAGGGTGTTTTCCCATAGCATCTATATTCAACCTTTATCAATGAAGACTCTCTTCTCTTACTATCTATTATTAGAAAGTTTGATGCTTTTTGCATCCTTTTCCCTTTTGAGCAGGTAGTACCATGAGCCACATTTGACTTTGGTATCTGTATCATAAATTTAAGTAATCCGTATCCATCATATTTTTCATCAAATATCAGCATCATAAAATTGGTTGTTTTTACCTCTCTTTTCTCTGTTAGGTTTCACCATAAATTGACCACTTTCCAGAATAATAGTGGTTTTGTTGTGGGCGCGGTCTTCATGACTTGGCACCACTAACTTTTAGACAACTTCTCATATCACATCCATTCTTATTTTCGTTACATTGTCAATAATGATTTTTTTTTCTCTGTGGGTGCAGTGTTTTTGACTTGGAAC